AACTTCTCTTTTATTCATTATCTTTTTTCAGTCCTTTACATAGTGCATTATTTGGCCCTGGGTCATATTGTAGACTTTTCCCATTAACTGTTTCTGTTATTGTTGCCATTAATCCCCCCCACAAGCGCATACTTAAATGACATTTAAAATGTTTTGTATTTGAGTCAGTCAACCTTTAAATTTATTATGTTTCTTTTGAGCTTAATGTTCTTAGAACATTATTGCCCTAGTTGAGACATGATAAACATTCATAATATTTTCTTTTTTTAACTAATCTGTTTTGGGGAGGCTGGGGGTATGGCTAATATATTTGAGATTGATTTGTTCATTTCATCTATTATCAACTTTGTTTTTTGATGAATGGATGTTCCAATGAAAATGCAACTTGATTTGATAGGACTTATTTAGTTATTTTTCATACATCAATTTTAGATAAACTATGCATGAACGACCTATCAATATAACGTAAGTGACTAAAGTAGAATATGGGTCATATTTTATGACATCTGTGTTACCAGATCTGAAAAACTTCACAAATAGGGTGGACCCACTCTTGTGGTTTCTTAATAATTCTTATAACATGGGGTCTGGGAGAGAAGCTAGGGCGGTGATGAAAACTTGGGTTGTGAAGCACAGCTGGATTAAATCCCAGCGACCACTTACCCGTCCCTGACTTCAGATGCTTACCATCGTGAGTTTCCGTTTTCTTTTCGCTAGAATGCGAGGGTGTTCGGATTCCTACTTCTCAGGTAGTGAAAGTTAAAGTAGTAGATAGATATAGGTTAGCGCAGTCCTGCATGCATGATCAATTCAGAGTGTGCCATCGCAGTAATTAATTCTATGGATAGGATACCAACTTGGAATCATTTTCTTGTCACTAACTTTTCAATTTGGCTTGCCTACATTCTCTTTATTTCTGAATAGCTAAAACCTGATTTTAATGTTATTTTTCAATGTAAATTGGTAATTGCAGTGATTAAAGTGTTTAAATGTCTTTACTATGACATTTAATTCTCATAACTATTTAAATACTCAAATTCTACAATGAGAAGAAAAAGTCAATTGACTATTTCAAATTTGCATTGTACAGTTTTCTCTAAAGAATATTTTACCCTAAGAGTGGCCTTTGCTGGTACTTAAAAGACAAATATAGCCTTTTTTTATAATAATCATGACAATAAAAGGAATATGGAATTACATTATATTGTCTAAAGGATTAAGGTTTTGATTTTTGTTATTTTTTTTTACAATTAGTCATTTATTTGGCATTAACAAGGAATGAGTTTTCCAAATAAATGAATTGTCTAAATAAATTGATCCTTTGTCTTTTAAGTCAATGTGCTAAAATTAAAGTTCCACACACACCCTTTTTCAATAGAACCTTGCTAAAATTTGTCTTACATACTGTGGAACATTCTGAGGAGAAGTAACATTGTATTGAAGGCCATTAATGTGAACATTAATAACTGTGTTGTACATATCTATATTCCTAGGCTCTTCCCTTAGACTAAGTAACTTACTTCAACCTACTCTGCTTTAAAAAAAAAATTCTGGTTTTATTTTATTTTTTCCCCTACTGCTGCTCATGCCTACTGGCTGCTATTTCTTGTGTATACCGAAAATAACTCTTCTTTGTCCTATTTGTTCTACCATTTGCCTTTTCACTACTGAGTTATAGCCCAAACTGATTATTTTACTTTGTTAACTAAATTCCATTATTTTCTTATTACCAGCTTAAGATTTTCCAATACATGAACGCTTAGAGCAGTGGTTCTCAACCTTCCTAATGGCGTGACCCTTTAATACAGATCCTCATGTTGTGGTGAAGCCCCTCCCCTCCCATTCAAAATTATTTTGTTGCTACTTCATAACTAATTTTGCTACTGTTATTAATCGGGTGACCCCCATGAAAGGGTTCTTCGACACCCAAAGGGGTCGCAACCCACAGGTTGAGAACTGCCGGTAGAGGGTTTAGACATTTAGAACTGCTGGTAGATAGGTGTGTATTCATTTCCTGCCACTGCAACCAAATGCCACAACGTAGTGACTTAAAACAACAAGAGTTTATTGTCTTACAGCTCTGGAGGTTAAAAGTCCTAAAATTTGCTTCTGTTCTCATTACTATCCATTCAACATATAGGAGGATCATTATTATATATTAATAGCTGCTATGGAAGCTCTAGGGCAGAATTTATTTCCTTGCCTTTTCTAGCTTCTAGTGAGCCTGTGACTAGTGGGTTACACATTAGCTGAGAAGCTCGAGGCCAGCAGTGCCAACAGCACCAGCCTTTCTACTCCCAATATGATGTACAACCTCAGAATCTACAGAGGCAGTTCCTCTCTACCCTGTGGGTCAGAATTGACTCAATGGCAGTGAATTTGGTTTTTCTCTTCTTTTTTTTTTTTTTTTTGAGTGATGATCCTCCCCCTTCATCTTCGATGCCAACAGTGTAGCATCTTCCATTTTGTCTCTGTTCATATACTTTCATTGTTAACTTCTGTGTTTGTGGCCTACCTGCTTCTCAGTTATAGGGCTCTGATTACATTGGTCTTACCTAGATAATCTAGGATAATCTTGCCTTTTTAAGGTCCTTAATTTAGTCATATCAATAAAATTCCTTTTGTTTTGCCATTTAAGTTAAACTGACATATTTTCTCAAGTCTAGGGGATTAGGACATGATCATCTTTTGAGAATATTATTACATGTATATTAATCATCCTAACATAGCTTAACTTAGTAGGAATAATACACATGATGCTGGGGGTTCGCAGAATCCAGGCATCTCATGAAAGTAGGGAAAGTAGCAACTGATAGTTGAACTGAGTCTTGAAGGAATAATTGAAATTAATTAGGCAAAAAAGAGCAATTTAGGTAGAAAGGGTGTCGTGATGAAGGTTCAGCAAAGGCACACCAGGTGATATTTCTGTTTCTGTAATTAGTAGTACTTTGACATCATCATAATAGGTGTGAATGTACAGTTGAAGGAGGGGGAACAGCTAAATTGAAGAGTAAGGGGAGTTTTAATAAGAGATTTTTTTTCTGTCCTATTTTAATGGCCGATCTCCCTTGGTGTAGTCATCATTTTAGTGGGTGATCTGTTCTGTTTTAACTACTATCCATTCAAGATACAGGAGGATCGTTATTATATATTAATAGCTGCCTTGGAGTCTGTTTTGACCCATAGTGATCCTGTGCACAACAGAGTGAGACACTGCCTGGCCTCCGCCATCCTCATCATTGTTCCAGTGCCCATTCTTGCAGCCACTGTGTCAATCCATCTCCTTGAGGGCCTTACCCTATTTCATGCCTCTCTACCAAACATGATGTCCATCTCCAGAGAATGGTATATCCTGACAAAAGAAGCATCATAGACCAGTTAATATCATTATTAATACTTGACTTTTGAGAATGAATGAATGAATATTTTTATGTACATGTTATTTCAACTTGCATTTGTATTTCAGTTTGTGTGTGTGAGAGAAAGTGAGTGAGCATGAGAGAGAGACTCTTGGTAAGGAAATATAAATATTAAGGATAGGAGTATAGCTAAAAGGACTGAAGCAGTTTTGAGTCCATCGCACTTACGATAAAAGGCCAGTTAATCGTGACTCTGAAAGTAAGCATCATGTAGCCAGTGATTATCAGAGGAGAGCAGAGCTGGGTGGTGATCTCCATGTGCCTGTGTGCTCCCTTTACTCGGAGAGTAGGGGTCTGGGCCCGCACAGAACTTTGATTCCCAGGTATAGTTGAGGCAGTGGGAACTGGTTTTGCTGTCACTGACTCTTCCTCTGACCCTTCGTCTGTGCTGGCCCAGCTGGCCCAGTAAATTCTCATGGAAAGCCACTTCACAGCTTTTCCTTTTGAATACAGGTCTGGTCCCTACCACTTACTTTAACCCAGCATTTTATGATTTTCCACGCTGCCCTAAAACTCCTGGGGTCACCTCATTGTCAAGTACTGTGCATATATTTCTTTTCTACAACATTTTATATGATTTGTGTTAATATTTAGTCAACTGAGCATTTTTAGCTCTGAATATATTTCCAGTAAAGAAGAATATCATAGCAATTCATCTCAATTAAAAGGGTATAATAATAGATGGAATCCAATTATGAGACTCAATTTGATATTTCTGTATTAAAATGTCTTTCGTGTTCAATATTGCAATAATTGTTGCCATAAACATTATTGACAGATCATTGAACCATATACTAATGTGACAAATAACTGGTAAAGACTGTGGGTTAGAATATCAACACTCTGATTTCTCTAGTTGTATAGCCTACAACAAGTCACTCAAGTTTTCTAAGTCTTTTTCCATGTACCGATTTAAGGTAATCTCCCAGAGTGGTTGAGGTGATGATTATAACATACTTGGCATGTGTTGTGTACTCATAAACTCTAGTTGTTTATATTGTTCTTGAGAATTATTAAGTACAAATAAATGGACTTTATGTATATTATATGTATTCTATGGTTTAAACCATTTCTGTGGATAAATTGCATGCTATATGCTATGTTCCAGACTAGAGGCAAACCATTAAGAATGAGTTTAGCATCGTGAGGAAGTACACATAGTGGGGTTCACACTGAGCTGCCAATCTCAGGGTGAGTGCTTCAAATTCACCAGTCGCTCTGTGAAGGAAAAATGAGGCCGTCTGCCTCCATAAAGATCTAATGAAAGCCTTGGGACCAGCCTGGAAGGGCAGTTTGGCTGTCTCACAGATTCAATAGCACTGGGTTCAATTTTGAATTGGTTGGTGGCAGAGAGGCCGAAAGCTTGGAGTTGGTTCAAATCACAGCTCCACCATTTGTTGAGTAGGACAAGTACTAAAGTGCTACATCCGTCCATTTCCTCATCTCTAATAAAGGCACACTCATCCCCTAGATAAATAGATACATGAGGAGTTTAAAAAGTGACTGAAACATAGCTATGTGTCAATTATTATTAATTTGTTGTTGAGTGAGTTACTAATTCTTTTTTCTTTCACTTCTTAGGTGAATCTTGGAAGCAATCAATACCTTTTCTCTGTCACAGTGGACCCTAAAGAAATGCCCTGCTTCTGTTTGCGCCATGATGTCGATGCCCTTCTCTGGCAACCACACTGTAGCAAACAAGACGAGATGTGGGAACACATTGCAACTTTCAATGCTTTAGGTGCAGTTTTTAGTACATTGAAAATTACAGTCATGTTTTTTGAGGCTCACTTCTTGCTTTTTAAGTGAGCTGCCCTAATTATATTTGGATTGATTTGTACCATAATTTGGTGTCAAGTACTGTAGTAGATGAGTGTTAGGGCTGTCAGAATAGTCAGTCTGTTGGTACTTGTAGAGATCAACTGAGTAGAAATCAAAGTGTTTATCCTCATCATGCGACTCGTTTTAATCAACCCATTTGCTTATGCTCCTTTAGCTAGCCAGTGTGAGAATATGAACAAGAGACTTGACACTACCCTTTGTGGAGCTTGTATCCGGGTTTGGTCAGAGTCACCCTCATAAAACAGACTCGCTCTAAGGTCATGCTGGTTAGGGAACTTCTGTGGAGCTGTGGTGGGAAGCCATGGTAATGAAAACACTTCATGGAAAGTTGTAATAAGCAGATATTACACTTATTCTGAAGATGTGCTAAAATTAGGGCTTAAAAATATTCTAAACCACATAATTGTAGACTTAAACAATAATTGATTTCATGTCAAAATACATTAGTATTGTATAGGAGAATTACCCACAGCAACTGTGTTCCTGAAAGGTTATTTAAAAGAAGCAGTAGGAAGTAAATTATGCATTTTAATGACTACATATATACAACACTAATTGAAGAGGAGCTTTCTCATTTAGCCCATAGAGTTGGATAATATAGGGTGTTAAAGTGCTTAATTTGGAATCCAAATGAATTTTTATGATCTGAAATACAAAATTGACTAAATAATTTAACTATATTATTTCTCACCTCTTGACAATTCCTAATTTTTTATTCCCCTTTTTTTTGCTAAGAAGAAAGCTTTATCAAGAAGTACGTAATTCATATATATATTCAGATCCTCCATTCATATCTTCCAATTCCCTACTAGAGAGGAGTTTATTTATAATTAAGTCAGCATTACACTATCTATAATCTTAGAATATCATATACATTATTAACTCTGTCAAATTATCCTGGAAAGCTGATTCCAAGCTACTATATGTGCATCACTTTTCTCACCTTAAACCCCGCTTAACATTGAAAAACCAGTATTGATCTCCTTGTGCAATGTTTATTTTATTTGTTCATTACTTAATGATATCTCAAGTTACATTTTTATCTATCTGCCTCATATGTTATAGCTTTCTGTCACCATTTCGCCGTTTGAAATTTTTCATTTATATTTCAGAAGATATGCATTCTCTTATTTGTAAAAATACTTTTTAAACGTATACACGAATAAAAAGATAAGATTAGAACTGATAAGTTTTCATGGGATATTCCAGTGCAGTTTTAAAAATTAGACACTTGAGTTTTCTTTTCCCCTCCAAATAGGCTCAGTGTTCTACTTCTGGGGGACGTACAACAAAACTGACATCAATGTATAAAAAAGGTTAACTTTATAGGAGTTGTAACAACAATACATTGTATCTGTACTTCCTAAAGGATGGGGCCTGCGTCAGGAATACACGTCTGAAAGCATGTTGGGATGCTATGCTATAAATGTGGTCCTGTTTATTTTGATAGGAAAGGGGAGAGAAAAGGTTCTGTAATGTCCTATCTGATTCTTGCCAATGTTAAATTGACATTTAATAATACTTTGACATCTTCCTAGTGTTTTCACTTAGAGCTTCAATCATTCATCAAAATTCAGTGGAACAATAATGTGCCTTTCTTTTCTTTACTTCAATCTCCTCTAGGTTTCTTTTTTTATTATTATTTTAATCATTTTATTGGGAGCTCGTACAGCTCTTATCACAATCCATACATATATCCATTGTGTCAAGCACATTTGTACATATGTTGCCATCATCTTTTTACAAACATTTTCTTTCTACTTAAGCCCTTGGTATCAGCTCATTTTTTCCCCTCCTTCTCCCTCCCTCATGAACTCTTTATAATTTATAAATTATTATTTTCATATCTTACACCAACAATTTTGTGTTTTCTCGAGTAGATTAAAGTCCCCTCTAGTTTGTTTCTTGGGAATTGGAATTGTTTCTAGCACCAGTAGGGAGAGCTTGTTTGTGGCTAGTTATTAATAGCACAGAGCTCATCCATTGTGTATCTATGGCATTTATTTGACTCAGGCTTTTGTATTTGTAATAAAAATTAGGAAATGTTAATTTAATATTTTTCTCCTTATGTTTAATATATACGATCTCTTCTTTGTTTTGTATTTCTTGACAGGCTACGTCCAGGCATCAAAGAGAGACAAAAAGTTTTTTGCCTGTGCTCCAAACCACTCCTATGCAGCTCTTTGCGAGTGTCTCCGCCGAGTGTTCATCTACCGCCAGCCCACGCCCATGTCCACTGTACTTTACAACAGAAAGGAAGGCAGGAAAGTAGGGCAGGTTGCTAAGCAGCAAGTAGCAAGCCTAGAAACCAATGACCCTATTTTAGGCTTTCAAGCAACAAATGAGAGATTATTTGTTCTCACTACCAAAAACCTCTTTGTAATAAAGATAAATACAGAGAATTAATAACTTCAGCATGCTGGCTTCTCTGTACCAAAAACGTTGTCAGTGGTAGCTAGAAGGCTGGTGGTTACACTGCAAACTTTTAAGCTTTGATGTCTTCAATGAAAACTTCCTGTATTTTTTGTTTGTTTGTTTTTAAGACATTAAAAATCTATTCAAGACATTATAATTCTGTAAAATTAGTAGTAGGCTATGAAATGAAGGTGCAGATTTAGAAAAAATTGGCTTCTGTAAAAAATGTAAAAACAATATTAAGTGTAATTTTTTAAAAACAGAAGCTAAATCTTTTTATATGGAAAATATATCATTCATTGCCTAAAAAATAAAAATATTTATTGTGTCCTGTTTCCTTATTGATTAATGCTACATATAATGTGTAGGATTACAGATAAAATTAAAGTTAATTAAAAAGTTCAATTTTCCAAGTCAAGTATAAACAAAAACATTTATACCTTTTAATTATTACAACTTTGTTCTTTGAATTTTGTTACAAAAGAATTACTTTGGGTATGGTTCATTACGTTACTCACCAATGTTTTTAAGTCATAAATACTTCAGTGGATTGAACAGCTGAGGTAGGAGGGAAATAGAAGAGGCATATAGCATTTCTAATTGTCTTAAAGTTGGCTGAGAGACTTTCACTCTTTTATTAGTTTCTATTCTTGGTGGGCACCATCGAGCTGGCCCAGAAGCATAGCTACCCAAGCAGAGGAGGGAAACCCTCATCCTCGCCCTCGTTGCTGTGTTTGAACCCATTGTCTCCCTCGTTGAGTGTCTTCCTTTTACCACTCTGCCAAGAATGATGTTCTTCTCAGTGGACGGATCCCCACTATTAGATGACCAACATAAATGCAATGTAGTCTCACCAGCCTCACTTCTAACGAGCAATCTAGCTGTACTTCTTCCAAGACACATTTGTTCCTTCTTCTGGCAGCCCTTAGTACTTTTAATATTTTTCACCAACACCTTAATTTAAATGCATCAGTTCTGCGGTGATCTTCCATATCTCTTGTGCATCTTTAGCATGGTTATGAGTCAAGTGAAAATACCATGTCTTCGTTCACAAGAGGACATCTTTGTTTTTAATACTTTAAAGATCTTCTGCGGCAGATTTTCCCAATACAGCGTCTTTGATGTTTTTTCACTGATGCTTACCTAGATCCTGATTGTGAGTCCAAGTAAGCTGAAATTCTTGACAACTTCAATCTGTTCTCTGTTTATCATGATGTTTGTTGGTCCAGTTGTGAATTTGGGGGGTTCTCTTTCTATTGAGGTATAATCCATATTGAAACTAGTCTTTGGTGGTCATCAATAAGTACTACAAGCCTCGATTTCCACCATATTTGCTATGTCCCTTTGGACAAAGCAGGCACACGGCTAACCCTGAAGTCATGTGGAAAGTGAGTAGGTAGGTAACAGATAATGGGCTTGGTTGATTGAGGAACATTGTGTAAAAGTCTAAACAAAGGGTGATGGTTTGCCCTTGCTCTTTGAACAAAATTAATCCTGTTTTGTTAATGAGGTACATTTGCCATAAATGTTAGCTGCTTATATTTGCTCCCAGATTCTTTGAGCTTACAATTACTGGGAGAATGCTTTACTTTTTACATAATTTTTAGTTGATAGAAACCTCCATTTGTATTTTTGTAATTGAACAAGATAATTAAGACCTTAATTTATGAGGTCTTAAACAGAAGACGATAATCTTTATTTCTAATTAATTACTCAGCATTCGGGTAAGTATTTACTGAATTAAATTTAGGAAAAATATATTTGAGAGATAAGAGAAAAGGAAAAAGATGAGGGATATATATATGTTCTAGTCCTTATGTCAGAATGTGGTTTCCTAGACAGAAGTAACTAAATGCTAGATAAAAAGTTAGGAAAGATGATTCTGAGAATCTGACAATAGTGACATTTGGAAATAGTCCATTACTCTTAGGAAGGAGATGGATAAATGTTGAACATCATGAGGTAATGAATGTAGAAGAAAAAATATTTGGTTGAATCAAAAAACTGACTTTCAGAACTGTTTAATATTATTGTGAAAAATACACAAGACCTTTACACAGACAGTTAACTGGTAAAAATCTGAAATGTATGGAAAAAGATTGAAATATTCTTTTAAAGTTTTCCCAAGGACCATAAATGCCCCCTTTAGGGGATAGAAGAATAATGCAGATTCATGTGGTGCTTAATTAACTTTAGGACTATATATATGCACAAATTTTAGACTAATCTTATTTAACAGAATTTGTGCAAAATTTATGATCCTAATAAAGTATGTTCTGCATATGAATATTTAATAATATTTAATGCAACATGTTTACTGAGCATCAGTTACATACCATAATAAAATGTTCTCAGTACTAAAGATCAGACAGTAGATTAGAAACAAGTCTACATTCTACTAATTTTTGTGCTAAATTTTTCTTTGGGAACTTAAGGGAAGGTGACTCCATGTGTCCCATTGTGAAGAAGAAGTTTGATTAAGAACAGAATCTTAGAATGATGCATAACAGGCAGACAAGACGTGGCAAGTGTTTCGAAAGTTTTGTGTTGACAAAGATAAGGAACTATGGCAAGTGATACAGTAACGCAAGACTAGGATTGTTCTAGTCGTTGCTGGTTACTGGAAGAATATTTTAATTGCTTCTTTAGCATTGGCAAGCCTTATTTAGTATATAATACTTCAGCTGATAAAAATTAAGCCTAATGGGGTCAGAGTGAAATAAGGCATCCTGGTGGCGTAATTGGCCATACCTGGAACTACTATCTACAAGGTCAGTGCTTCAAATCCTCCATCTCCCCTGGCAGAACATGAAACTATACTTCCATGAAGATTTAACGTCTTGCCCCAAAGAGGCTGTTGTACTCTGTCTGTCCTTTAGTGTAGCTATGACCCTTCAACAGAATTGACAACAGTGAGTGGATGGTGGTGAGGTGCTCGGCTGCTAACAGATGGGTGGTTCAAACTCACCAAATGTTCTGGGAGGGAAAGCTATGGCCCTTTTGCCTCCTCAAAAGATGTACCGCCTTGGCAAGCCTACGAGGCAGTGCCCTGTGTCTTGTAGGATTGCTTAGCTGGAATCTGCTAGGTGCAACTGGTTTTAAAATAAACGAAGGAACTCCAAGAAGCTCATGGAAAAATGGAATTAAAAGATGTGTATTTTTCTATTACATTCTTGATGTCCCCTCATACCAATGAAAAGAGATGGTCTAAATTACACAAAATATAAATCTAAAGTTGAAAATGCATAAGACCCAGAAGACAAAATTTATAATATAGAAGATTCATGAATTTGACCTTATTAAAATATTGACTTTTTATGATCTGGATTCTTTAACAAAGCTAAAAGACAAACTACAGACTGGATGGAGAAATAGATCAGATACATAATAAATGCAGCTTAAAATGCATAATATGGAAAGTATGACTTAAAAAGTACTATAGAAAAGTGGGCCAGAAATATGAACAATTTATAGATGTTGAAACATCACCAATAAACATGAAAACGTGCAGAATCTCCTAGTTAACGAGGGAGATTGGTAGGCACTTAAACTTCCGTGTTATAAATATTGGCTAGGGGATGGAATTACCTTTTATTGCCGTTTATGATATGCCTTTGGACAAGACTAGGCCTAGAAAGCCTCTTGAAGTTCATTACATAAGTAAGCTTTAACTACTTTCTTATGAGAGGTGAAAATAAATTGTGATGCTTTTTAACAGATTAAACCCAAGATTTGTATGCTGTTTTTCAAGATAGTCCTGTGAAAAGTCTGTTCATAAAATGTTCTCTGCTGTTTAAATTGTGTATTAGACAAAAGGAGGAGGGGCGGTGTCGTGTTATAAGCTCCTAGATGGAGTGATAGGAAAATGGGCAACAGAATTCAAAATCATAACAATATGCTTACTGGTCGGATGGAGACTGGTGGGACCATCCTTCCAATTTTGCAGTCAGATATCCCCCTTGTGCTTTCTGTTACTGACTTGTGTATGGCAGACATTTATGTATTCTTATTTTTAAAAAGAAATAATGCTTCGCAAAGGGACCGTAAGTATAGATTCCATGTACCATTAGCATACTTACAGGATTTGAATACAATTTTCTCTAGGTAAATGTGTTACAATCTGATGGAAATCTCACCAAAATGTAGCCTGGATTATCTATTTATAAGGTAATAAAACTAGACTTCTTGCCCTGTTTGATATTCAATCTAAACACCCCCAGTAGTTAAAATCTGTCATGAAAATGTTCAGGGTTTTCTAATGTGAATGCTATTTGCAATATTGTTTTGTATGCATTTGGAACAAATACATATTATGTTTGATAAGAGGATTCTAAATTAAACCTTTTATTCTCCAGATTCATTTCCAACAGCCTACTTTACATAATCACTCTTGAAGGTAAGCTATGAAAGGATAAAAACAAGCTAAGAAGGCTACATCAACGACTAAAATAACAGCAGAGTTGTAGTTAATAAGCCAACAGAGGAGATAAAATACAATCACAAACGATAGCCAGGCAATAATATATAAGAAGGCACAAGGAAAATCATAAAACAAAAAGCAACATGACATTTAATTATATCAGTAATCTCCTTTTAAAAAACAAGACCCCCAGCTATGTGTTGCCTGCAATAAGTACTTTATAAATAGGTTAAAAAATTATTTAAAAGCCTCAGTATGAGCTGTGTTTGGTAGCTAGAAACTAATGAGTATAAGCCCACCGTCATGGAGTTGATGCTGACTGTATAAGAACAGAGTTGAACTGCTCTTTTAGTTTTCCAAAAGCTTAAGTCTTTATGGGAGCAGACAACCTCATCTATCTATTGTGAGGCAGTTGGTGGGTTTGAACCCCAGACCTCACAGCAGCCCAATGCCACCAGGGCTCCTACTATATTAATGAATATAAAGCAAAGCAGTGATCTTATAGGACTGTGCCAGTGATCTTATAGGACAGAATAGAACTGCCCTTTGGAATTTCCAAGGCTGTAAATCTACCAAAGTAAAAAAGTGTCATACACCCACACATGTATACCCAGAGTGGCTGGTGCTTTTGAACTGCTGTTGGCAGCCGACTTTAACAGATGTAGACAATTAATATGACCTTTCTAAAATTCTTAGTGTGATGTAAGTTCTATCCTCAATGCCCATGGATCTAATTCTATGGGGAGGGAGTTCTCTGCTATGCCAGTGCGCAGGATTATGGGATAATGTATTCTGGATCTTCACCTTACTAGAAGATTGTGACGTCACAGCCTTTGTTTTCTTGGGGATAGGATCTGATCAAAGCCAAAAACTCCTTCCATCAAAACTTGCTCTGTGTGTAAGAGCCG